GATGTGCATTCGAGTTTTAAGAACGGATTCATCCAAAGGAATTCCTCTTTGTGGTTTGGATGTTGCAGCTCGTAAAGGGTATTTTTGCTCTGTTCAGCAAAGTGCTGACGTGGGGGCCAGGGCACTGGCAGCACAGCGGGTGGAAGAAGCGCGGGTTCGGTTCTAGAACCCTCCATACTTCCGAGTTTACGGCGAGTTTTTATGCTTGAGAGAGATGCTTTATAGTCTAAGAATGACGTGTTGATTTTACTGATTGTACTGTACATCTATTAAAGCCTTAGATTATTACATTACGGGTTACAACCCATACCAATGTAATTTCAATCGTGTTAAGAAAGTATAGGTGACTTCACATGTTATCGTAGTTACTCGACATTATAGAATATTGCTTATTTTCTTCTCGTCGGAAGTGTAGTTTTCATTTCTTACATTTATTAGGTCGTTTCGTTTCCTATTACCAGCTGAGTGCCGTTTCAGCTCCTGGGGTCGTGTTTTGTCAGAGCTGAGCGATGAGTTTTCTGAGATAGAGAGCAGTTTTCTTCATCACGTAACTCAGTTTTGGATCTCTGTAGCATCATCCGAATATTCGTATTCTTGTTGACAAAATGACTTCTATTTTGCCAATTTAATATGACAATGTAAGAATGTCAGTCATCGTTAGTTCTTGTCTAGTTCTCATTAAAAGAACAAAGATCTTTTATATGGATATCTTATAATTATATAATCATTGCTAAGTAAGGAGTTAAGTTGTTGCTATGGCAACGATCCTGGCAGACAATTGAGTAATATTTTGATGATTTATTTTGTTTGTAATTAGTTATTATGAGAAAATCTAGTTCCTAGATATTAGAATAAAATTTATTTTCTACTGTATCCATTTCAAATGTTAAAATATTGTTTAACTATTTTTTGAGATCCCTGGATATCAGGCCTTGTTATAAATAAGCTGCATAATCGATAGATCAAGGGACTTTTTGTTGATAATCCAAATACTCAAAGTTTACGTAATGAGAATTATCGCGTGTGTGTGCAAACTCGTGAGGGTTGATTATGCTGCAGTTGAGCATGTGGGAACGGACCGGGAGAAGGTTGACTTTTTGCACTTCTGTATATAGTCAAAAAAGAGAGAAACCTGTATAATAGTAAGATCTTATTTTGAATAAAAATGTCTATAATTACAAGGAGTTTTGTTAAGGCTAATAAAATGACAGGCTGAACAAAATTGCTTGCAAAAGTGGCACAGAGTTAGCACTCCATACCCCTTCGAAAAAGTTGCTTTGCTTTATGTGGACAGCTTGTAGTTTGCCAGGATTTTTTCAGCTGGAAAGATATGCCATCCTTCCGAGATCTCATGACTGACAAAAGCTCCACTGGTTCAAATCTGCCTGAAAACCATTACGAAAAAAGGAAAAAAAAAAAAAAAAAAAAAAAGGAAAAAGAACAAAAAAAAGCCGGTACTTCAAACCATCAAGGTGAACCCATGGATCCAGTATTGCGTACATTACTCAGAAACTACTGCATGTTTAAAGTATCAAAGCTATATTAAAGGTATATACTACTCCGACCAGTTTCTGACCATTTCAGTGGTTTATTGTTCACAAAAAAGATTCTTCAAAACCGATACTGACTTTCACAAAAGAGTTGAATCATGAACAGGCAAACCGAACAGCGCACCGTAGCTGTAGTTGTTACGTGATTATTTTTTATTGCTGTAGTGGTCCTGTTCTTTTAGCAGGTGAAAAAAAAGAAAAAAAAACAGACGAAATTTTACAGTTTTAATGGGAAGCACTCAATAAACCTCGTGGTTGTCAATGCCAAAGCTGGAAAGAAAAGGCGGTGGGGCCGTTCCTTACCTCCCTCCGGTGCTCAGACGCAACGAGGGGTAAGCTGCACTTATTTGCAACCCCGCAACTTTCATCTGCTGAAAGGACAGATGTGCTTGGTTTTACTATTATGTAATCACAACTTACTTTTGCTTGTAGTTGCTCCGAATTATGTACTCTGTCCTGGGCTGCAATTTGTTTTTATGCTTATTTTATTCTTACTGCTATAGTTGACCTTGCTGTATGGAAAAATAAAGTGAAATTGCCCTAATAAAAGTTCTCTTTCTTAATTACATTTTCTGATAGCAGGTTAAAAATTGCACCGTTCTCTTTCACACAGCTGTGTCCGTGTGTTCGTGCGTCTGAGGGAACATCCTTTACCTGCAGGGGAAGAAGCCTGAGGTGCCCCTGGGCTTTGGTTTCCTTCGCCAGCACACAGCAGCCGTGGGCTCTGCAGGGCTGAGCTCCTGTGGCAGCAGTGGGGCGGAGATGGCAGCTTTGGACACATAGCTGAGCCCCACGCACCGCGGGCTGCACTGCTGCAGGCACTGGGCTGGGACACAACTGGGGTTCCCAACCTGGAGTCCCACGGGAGCTGCGGGCCCCAAAGCCCCCTGTGAGCACTGCTGCCCACAGCCCCGTCCACCCGCTGCTCGATTTCGTCTTCTAAAAGCACATCTCCGGTCCAGGAATGGCTCAGCAGTGGGCCGTACCTCTTCCCACCTGCCCCTCCAGTACTGCTGTCTTTCAGGGCTTCGAGCAAAATGAGCTGTGTGCCTCACTGCGTTAATAGTGTGCGGTGCCAGGGGAGAACGCTGCAGCGAGCCGACCTGTTCCGGGGGGAGTGCCTTGCTCAGGTCAGCACCGGGCTTTGTGCCCTGCAGCAGCGTGCCCAGCGTGCACCAGGAACCATTGGCTTCCATCTGTGCAGAGGAAAATCTCCTGGTTGCTCACCTGATGAGTCCCTCCTGGAATCTCACGGTCGCACCAGAGCTGCCCAAGGGGTCCTGCTTTGTGCAGTGCAGCGCTGCAGAGCACAGACACCTCCACAGGGCTCTGCCTGTCCCTGCTCCATCGGGGACAGCTCACAGAGGCACGCTGCTGCAACCTGGTATTATGGGTGCTGTGTCCTGTGCAGTGGGGTCCCAATGCTGCAGCGCCCCCGCACAGCACCTCTGTGGAGAAGGAGTGCAGAGCTGTGCCAGCCCCGGCCCTGCAGGCTGCCTCCCGCTCCCGATACGCACTGCTGCTGAGTGCTGCTGTGGCGGCGTGAGCTGTGCTGCTGCATTCACAAGGGCCTGGCTCAGAGCGGAGCTCTCAGACGCTGAGCTCTCAGTGCTGGATAAAAACCCGCATCAGCCACTGAGAGCCGCTGCGTCCCCAAGATGTGAGCAGCCCCGCGCTGAGCAGGCACTGCTGCTGTGCTCACTGCGGGGAGCTGCGGGCCTGGCCTCAGGAGGCTGTGCTGCAAGGGGAGTGCTGTGTGCCCGCAGATGGGGCTCCTTTGCAGCTCCCCGTGTGGCTCAATTGCTGCATTCCTGCCGCCCTCACTCATCCCGGTTGCAGCACATCCCACAGCAGAGCTGCCGGGAGCCGCGCAGTGCCTGCACTCACGGTGCTGCCCCCACAGTGGGCGCGTGCACTGCCCTGCATTGGGGTGCTCCTCCTCGGGGTGCTCTCTGGGTGCAGCCCCAGAGCTGAGAGCTGGGCTGGGCACCGAGCGCTGCCAAACCCAGGAGCATTGGCACGTTATATACTGAGCAGCTCTGGCTCATAATGAAACATGGGGAGTTTTTGTTTTTGGAGTGCAGTTGGTCCATAAGTGCCAAACTGAAAGTGCCACCTTTGTATCCCATCCCACGGGTGCCGGGTGGGAGATGCTGCTGTCCCAGAGCCCCCACCACCCCATGCAGACCCCTGCTGGGCGCACTGAGCATGGGGTGCTTGGAGGGGAGCGGCCCCGATCCTGTCTGCTTCTCAAGAAAATCCTGGAACTTGGCTTTAACACTGACTTACCCTGCTTGGAAGGAGGCCACAGTGCGGTGCTGCGCTGCTTCAGCAGGGAGGCCGTGCATTAGGGACAGTGCCAACACCACCAAAGAGACACTTCTTGTCTGCACCATTGCCTGCATGCTGCGGTGTGTGGCTTCTGGGGCTCTGGGCACAGCTATGTGGGAGGGGGTTTTAATTGCACTCTCAGCTCTGGTGCAGGTTCAGAGATGGGCTCAGGCTTTCCAGGTCCCAGCTCTGCCATTTCTCTGTAGGTGGCACCAGGCCGCCCCTCTTGGCTGCCACTCGTGGTCTCTTGGCCAACCCTTTGATTTTTTTGGTCTTCACTTCTTTTCTCAGCTCCCACTTCTGTTCCAGTTTCCCACTCCTTTTCAGCCTCTCCATCTTTTTTTTGACCCCTGTTTTTTTTTCAGCCTTCCACTTTCTGGCTTTAGGATTTTTGGCCCCTGCCCCCCGCCCTGGCTCCCCGCTCCCCAGCCCCAGCCCCGGCCTCCCACGCCTCAGTGGCCTCATTTCCAGGCAAGAAGTCCGATGCACTCTGAGCTGTAAATAAAACCCTTTCACAATTGCCCTGAAGTTATTTTCTAGGCTTCCATCCCTCCCCCTCCGCCCCCCCTCGGGTCAGTGCTGCTCTCCCGGCGGCTGACCTTCGCACCCAGCACTCAGGACCCGGTTGTTGTCCTTTGGAGGGGCCGCGGCAGATGGAGGCGGGCGGTTGGCAAACAGGACGTTGGCCTCCAGCGCTCGGCGATAAACGCAGCGGCAGCGTTGGCGTCTTAGGGCGGGTGCTCGGCACGGGGCAGAGCCGCTTTGTCCCGCTCCCATTGCCCGCACCCAGAGCTCTGCTGCCCCACAGCCTGCCCGCAGCCCGGCGCTGCGCGGGGCCACGTGTGTAGGGCGGGCTGTGGGCCCGGCTGCCGGCCATGGGCAGCGGTGCCCCTCGAGCAGCGCGTGTGGCTTTGAGCTCCGTGAGTCACCGGTGGGCGCGTTGGGCAATCCTGTGTTTCCCAATCTGTTTTCCTTTGCAGGAATCAGCCCCCGCTCTGCCTTCAGCACGGCCAAACCCAGCCCCGCTGCCGCTCTCTGCCCGCGCGCTTCTCCTGCCTGCAGACAGGGGCACGGCGGCGCCCCGGGCGCAGAGGTGAAGCCTCTCGGCAGCCCCCGCCGGCCCGGAGCGCGAAGCGGCTCTCTCCTCTCTGTCCCAGCAGAGCTCTGCAGCGCTGCAGCCTGCGGTCCCTCCAAGTGAACGGCCGCCGTGCTGCGGTTTCTCTGTCAGTCCTCCCCCGGCAGCACGGACATCCACGGCTGTGTGAGCCGCGCTGAGGTCTCCTGCTCTCCGAGGGGCACCGACTCACCGCGCTGACGGGCCGGACTCGATGAAAAATTTGGCAGCTGGTTCAGGCGTGCTGTGACAGCCTCTCACCAATCAGAGTATTTACTAATTTCAGTCCGCGATGCTTTGCCCTTCCGAGGCGAGCGCTCGCTCTGCAGAGAAATCTGTGCAATGAGGCACATGATTTTCCAGCAGCACCACTCGCAGTTCGGTTTGAGATGGGAACAGGAAGAAATGTGTCAACACTTTCGTGTCTCTGCGTGTCGGAGCGGCATGCCTGGCCCGGCTGCGTGCTGCGGGCACACGTGTCACGGGCAGCACCAGGGCTGTGCGGGGCTGTGCTCCGCCTGCAGGGCGGTGAGCCCGAGCCCCACGGCACCTCAGGGCCCCTCAGCACCGCTGTGTGCAGGCGCTGCCGTGTCCCAGCAGGGCAGGCCGTGCTCTGAGCCTCTGTGTGAACGTGACAGCGTGCCCCACGCACTGTGGGGCTGGGATTAAAAACAGACTGTGTGCAAACCGTGTGGGGCTTTGTGTTAATTATGTGCTGCCTCGTAAGGTGCGTGATGGGATACGGAGGCTGCAGGAGTGGGGCTGATGGCAAAATCAGCTGCTGACCAGGAGGACCACGTTGGGGGGGCCCTCACTGGGGGGCCAGGTCCCCACTGCAGCCCCACGGCCAAAGCACAGAAGCCACAGCCCTGCTCTGTTTCTCAGCCCCATCCCCGCAGCACTGCCGCTGCCAACATGGATCTCTTGTTAAGTCAGGACAGTTCTGGAGACAGTTCTGAGGCACACGATGCACTGCTCAGCTCTGAGTGCTGGGGCTGCCAGGTCCTGCTGGCTTCACCCACAGCTTCGGGTTGCATCCATGTGGGACATCCATACTTCCTGCCCCATGCACATGAACGTTTTACAGAGAAATGCTGTCAGCATCCTGAGGAGCTGCCACATTCCGGCATCTCAGTTTTAACACCACTCAGTGTGAAAACATGAACATTTTGACTCCAACTACGGAATGACAAACTGAGCACCAGACATCTGCCACTCATTTCAGAATGTCGCCATTCCCCACAGCACAGCAGTGCTGGCACAGGGCTGTGTGGGGCCCCAGGCGGTGCTGCTCCTTTGCCCCATCCCTGCCCACAGCAGACGATCCCAGCAGGAAAGCACCATTCACACTGCAGGGTCAGGAGCTCAACTCACCCAGCAGCCACAGTGCTGTTTGCAGAGCTCTTCGTGCACAACAGCTGCATCTGCTGAGCAGCAAACTGCATGGGAAGAACATCAATAAATTAAAAGTTATTAAATGTAAACAAAGGCATTACAGGAGCAGCCGAAGGTTCAAAAGTTGGGACCATCGTAGACTCCTTTCGTCATCCCTTGGGAACCAACTGGGACTTCTCAAGAGGAAGAATTGCTTTCCTTCCCTGCAGGCCCACCTGAGCTCACTCCCCCTTGCTGCAGCCAAGTGCAGACAGAGCTGTGCACAACTGGGGGCTCCATGGGGACACGGGGCTGCCTGGAAGGACCTCCTCCTGCAGCACTCCTCCATTTGGGAGAGGAGGAGGTGAGCAGCACTGCAGCGGGGTGGCAGCACCCAGCACAACATGCACTGCTGTCTGCTCTGCTCAGTGGTGGTGGTTCCCGCCGGCTGTGGTCAGGATGGGGCCCACCCTGCCCTGCACTGCTGCAGGAAGAAGCTGGCAGCAGAGGCCCCAGCGTGGTTTGCAGGGAGGAAACCAAAGCTGCACAGCTCGCAGCACAGCATGGGCCAACGTGCATGAGCAGCAGGCCAATAGCCATGGCCGCAGTGCATGGAGGGCCATTGTATTCCTTCCCCCATGTCACACTCTGCATTTGCTCTGCAGTGAGTCCTGGATAAGAACTCTCAGCCATCCAATGCAGGTCACTGAGAGTGGCCGTGTGCTGCAGGGAATGCCACCAGTGCTGCCCCATCACTGCGCTCTGCATCCTGCTCTGCTCTGCGAAAACGGGAGCCTCCAGCACAGCCCGGTCCCACTCAGCCCACTGCTCACCCCAAACCCGTGTGTCCCCCAGTGGGACCGTGGGATGGGAGAGCCCATCTTTCCCAGGCAGCGATGGGATCAGGAGGGGTTGTGGTGGGAGCCTGCTGGAGAGCAGCCGGCCCCTCTGCCTCCACTGTGTGCAGCCCTGTGAGTGTAGCGCTTTTTCTGCAGCTGCAGGAGATGCAGTGGGGTTCACATCCGCTGCCTGCTCGCTGTTTTTTTTCAGCTGGCTCCGAGAAGTGTGGGTAATTAGGAAAAATCTATAACAAGAAGTACAAACAAGTCACGGTCTGCCATTAGCCAGAAAGTCTGCCCTCTGCCTCAGCTACAGCTTGATTCAATCAGAATAATGAAGCAGAAGCTGTGCAGAGGGAAACAGCACTTGGAGAAGGTCTGAAAACACAAACACACTGCACAGAGAGCACGTATTGCAATGGAACCTGAAGTGGGGGGAAGGGGGGTGGGCTGACGCTGGGCCAACATCTCTGTGAGCACAGTGCAGGGGGGCACTGGGGAAAGGCACCGCGCACTCACTGGAGGGAGCAGAGCCCTTCCCCTGTCCCACTGCCCTTCCCCTGTCTGGCTGCCCAGCTGCTGTCCCACCCGCACCCCTCAGGGCCCTGACTGCGTGCACTGTGGGGCTCTGCCCCTCGCTGCATGTCCCCCTGTGACCCCTGAGGGCCGCAGCAGCTGCAGAGCTGTGTGAGGAACACCCTCCCGCCCTCCCACGCCAGCCACATGGAAACCTCCACACAGGGAACTGAGCATTCATCTCTTGTGCATTCTATAATTCCAGGCTTGTTGTTCTGAGGAGCACAGTAGTTGCCAAACACCAGTTTCAAGCACAGAGTAACTAATGGTGAATGTGGTTCCGTGCATTCGCTGCAGCCCTGAGGATCAGCGGCCGTCTTGTCTTCACTGCCCACCTTTGGACACCGCACCCAGCCCCAGAGCCATGGAACCAAGCTGCTGTGTTTGTTCTGACCCTTCTCAGTGCCCGCACGGCTCTCCTAGCAGTGCCCATGCAAACGTGGGGACACGGCGTGGGGACCCCGCAAAGGGCTCGTGTGGGGACGGGCGAGGGGCGGCACTACGGCCACCTGCGGCTGCACTCACAGCTCAGCTGCATCCCCCCGGCACCACCAGCACATCACAGCCGCTCTCCTGAAGCTGTGCACTGGGATGGGATTGCACTAAGAGCGTGGCACGAGATGAAAGCAATTTGTATTTACTGCTCGGCCACATCCCGGTCGCTTCCTGTAAACCATGTGGCCATGGGGAACCGACCTCTTGTGTTTAGCTGACCTGGAGTCTGTGAAGATGGGCGGCATCGTGCGGTGACACAACTGCTGGGGGTCCCAGAATGGGGTGGGGGCTCTGGGGCCAGGGTAGCCCCTCTGCACACCCCACAGTACTGGATGGGGGATCCATGGCCGAGGCAGCGTGCCTCTCCCACCAGCGCTGTGCGCTGAGCCAGATCTGCCCCCATTAAGTACAAGACATTAAAATCAATCATTAATAACTTTAAGAGGTTTGTGTAACAGCAAACATACCCGCTCATGTCTGAACATTAACAGAGGTAATTTGCCTTCTTTAACTTCTTGTAGATAAATTCTAGAGATTACAAAAGATTTTGATAATTCCAACTGTTTTCCACTGTATTTTCAGAATAGACTCTGCACCAGGCTGCTGGGGCTCCAGCCCTGGGATCAAAGATTGATCCCCAAGAGACCCCCAGCCCAAGCAGCTCAGGCTCTGCCTGGCACAGCCCTCACCCCCAGTCCTGGCTCTGCCCACCCATGTCACAGCAGGGCACTTAGGGTGTGCGAGGCAGCTGGTCCCAAAGCTCGGCTCCCTCCCTACGCAGTGCCCACTCTTCTGCCTTCCTCTGCCAGAAGCTGAACCAAATACCTTATCTATGGAGAACAGTAATTCCATTTAAAATGGCAGTATGGGAAGGAGGCAGAGTGCCCCATGCTGAAATGAGAGCAGTTCTCCAGTACTCCTGTTATCTTTAGAACCCAAAGCGCAGCTGCTCGACTGGGACCATGAAGCCACTTCCACTGTGCAGCACGGCAGCAGCGCGGAGCGGGAGCCATTCGCATGCTCTGAAATTCAGAAGGCACTCCAAACTGTGGCTCAGATACCCTTTGGATTATGGTATGAGGAAGTTTTCGTCAGAGAGGGAGAGGAAAAGACACAGTTTGTATAGGAATGCGTGACAGTCGTGCTGGGTATTGTGCAGTATGGACTATGACTCCGAGTTCTCAGGTTACCCATTGCTGACCATAAAATTGTAATCTATAGATTATGGGACCGTACTCTATACCCTAACTGCCACTACCAGACCCAGCCCACCAATGGCTTGTGCTGCTGAGAGCCAAATGTCAGCTCGGGTACAACACAGCAGCACTGCTCCCACCAGATGGGACGGGGCACGGCAGTACAGTGCACAGTGCCCCGGGCTGGGGGCACCGGCCCACCAAGTATGGCCAGACACAGCAGCCAACCCTGGGGACACTGCTGGGCTCTGCTCTGCTGCAACGTGTGGGTAGGCAGCAGGCAGGCTGCTTCCTGGCAGCAGCTCAGACCCTATCTGCTGCAGACACCCCACAGCCCTTATCAGCCCCACACTGATATCCCTGGCTTCCTTCTCAGCCCTGTCCCACAGGCTGCGCACAGCAGGCAGAACTCGCTCGCTGCCTGTCCTTTGCACACCTGTCTGCTTGCACTCATGCTTCCCAAATGCATCACTCCCGAGTCAGGGCCGAGCTTGGGCATTCTCAGCAAGCAAACCAAAGCTGGCAGATAACGAGAACTGCGATGAGCAGCCATTGCTAACAGCCTGTTGTTAAGCATTTTTAAACAGACACAAATGAGCCTTGCTTCTCTTGCACGGAGTTTGCCCACATCCGTTAAGCCAGACTTTCCTGAGCCTGCACATATCTGCACACACTCTCCTATGCACAGAGATGTGCCCACACCTTCACCACCAGCAGCTGCTGCTGTGCTCACACCCAGAGCCCAGGCACGAGCTCAGGCCCACTCATCACCCTGGCTCCCCAACACACAGAGCTCTGCACACCCCGCAGGCTGCACTCCGCAGCGATCCCAGGCCATCCCCACACACAGCGCTGCAGTGCAGCACTCATCAGCCTGGCTGGGAATTTCCACGTGCTCTCTGGTGGGCACTCATTTCTCATTAGGGATGTATCATCCCTCGGAGTTTAATCAGCTGTTAAAAGAACAAAACATTCGTTTTAATGGAAGTCGGCGTCATAAAGCCCAGTGTGTGCAGGAGGGGAGCTGGGAGGCAGAGATGCAAGGGGCTCAGCCTCACCGCAGCGGTGGGAAGCAGCTCCCGGCAGCACATGGCAGAGCACGGAGGAAAGGTGCAAATGGAACATGTTGGATGGTTGCGCTCCAAAATAAGAACAGATCAGTGGCACAAGCAGGAAGACGCTAATTCGCTGCCTGCAGATGAAGTCATGTAACAGCATGGCTGCTAAAAAACATGCCTCGTTCTTCTCTGGGGGAAGCGCCGGGCCTTTAACTGTTGCAGTACTGCAGCTGGAATGGGCAAACTTTAAAGCAAAGCGTGGGACCACCGGAGGAAGGAGGCAAGAATGCCGGGGACTTGAACACTGCATGAAAAGGACCTAAACTCTGCACGAAAGGGACATAAACACTGTGTGTAAGGGGCTTAAATGCTGTGTGAAAGAGAACGTCTCAGTGGCAGCTGCTGTCCCGCAGTGCTTTGCGTTCCTCCTGGGGCAGCGGGGCGAGGTGGGCGCGGAGCACCCGAGGGCGCTGTGCAGGCAGCAGCATCGCAGCGCCGCGTCCGCTCTACAAAAAGCAACAGGGAGACGGGAGCACTGGAGGCACGGGGGGGCAGAGACACCTTGAGAACCCCGCCCAGCACGCGGCGGCGGAGCTCCTCGGATCCCTCGGGGCCGTCGGCAGCGGCCCAGCGGCACCTCGCCCGATTCGTCCGGCCGCACTGCCGCTCTCATTTACGTCTTCACATCCATCCCCGACTGTGCACGCGGGCCCCACCGGAGCGTCGCACCGAGGGCCACCTCTCCGCGCTGCCGGGACGCCGTGGGGAGCGGGCGGTGCCCGGAGCGCGGCTTATGTGCCGACAGCGGTGCTTCGCGTTTCGGTGTCCTTCCACGAGCCCCGTCTGCCTCCAGCACAGACCCTGGTTGCCCGCGGCAGGACGCGGCTCGCACAGCGCGGGGCCGGGGCTCTCCGTCTGAGGCTGCGGCTGAGGGCACCGCCCCGCACCGCCGCGCAACGCCCCGCGCCGCGCCTGGTCTTTCTCTTCCTTTGGTATTAAACTTAAGCAGTCTTCAAAGCAGCAAACGTGCAGTTACAGAAAAATGGGTATACGAGACGGAAAGCTCTCATTAGGACAGAACTCCAGACGTTGCTTCAAAGTGGCAGAGCCGGGCGGACGGCCCCCCCGCACAGCGCAGGGCGCAGGGGGTGGCCCGGTTCGGCTCGACGGAGCGCTCCTGTAATTGAGCCAGACTCCGAAGTTTGAGGGATGAATCCATATGCATGAGGCACTAATAACGCTCCGTCTGAGACGCAGCTTTCAGCCCACAGCCGCTCCGACCGGCTCGCGTCTCGCCCGGCGCGCGTCCGACACCGACGCGAACGAGGAGAGGCGGCACGGAGCGGCGGAACGAGCGTC